CAAGTCAATTGCAAAATGTTCGTTATGAATACACAATTTAATATTCAGAAATCTTAATTTCATAACCATTAAACAACGTCTTCTCTTTCGTTTACATTCTTATTAATTCATAATTATCACGAATTAACCCTCACTATTAAGGTGTTAATGTTTCCTAACACTAACACTGACTTCCTAGGGCATCTTGCCCCAATTGGGACTTTTCCACGCATTAAAACTGGTTTTTGGTCATTCTGACAGGGGGTAATCGATTACCAAACAATGGGTAATCGATTACTCCACATGGTAACTGATTACCAAAACAGAGTAATCGATTACTGCATATGGTAACCGATTACCAAAAATAGGGTAATCGATTACTGCACATGGTAACCGATTACCAATATAAGGTAATCGATTACCACGCGGACAGAACAGAATTCTGCATAATCTTTTTGCATAAACCGCGACCCCAAAGCTCCCCCAAGGTCCAAAGTCTGTTTTTTCTATCAAAACAGATTTTCAACACTGCTCATCATACATGGATTAACAACTTTTAATTTGGATAATCAAAGTTCCCTCTTTTAGTGACTTAAACAAACTAAAATCATGGATTTTCAAAGGAATGATCAAGGTTTACCTATGGAGTCTCAAGAACTCAGAAAAGAAGGTGGCTTGTGGCCTTAAATACCACTCCACACTACTACCAATGTAGAGCCACGAAATTGATCACCAAGCTAGGTCTTTTTCCTTCAAATGTGGCTTCTTAAAGTCACAAATGCTAAGAAAATGACCCCCTCCACACAAATCCAAGAAGTCAGCACCCCATATCCTCCCAAATTGAAACTATAACTCAGAAATGACTTGCCTTTCAACCTCCCGAGGCTAGAGCACACTCACACATGGAGTTTTTGTGAAGAAAGCAAGAGAAACGGTGGTCTCTTGGAGTTTCAATGGAGGGGGAAGGTGCCTCAGAAATTTCACGGAGAAGAAGAAGAAAACTGACCTAGGGTTTTGTGCCCTAGCTATTTATAGTCCACTTAAGTTAAATCCCAATGTATTAGCACTAATAGCTCCGTTTATCATTTTAATCTCAAACTTCATATTCTGAACCTAGCCATTTTCTACGATTTTTCATATTTTTATTATAATTTCCGCAGCACTTTGCCGGTACGCGTTTTTACGTAGCCGATATCAGTCCTAACCTCAGTTCTCATTATTTCGACTCCAAACTTGATCTACCAGTCCTAAATATCATTCTAGGAATATATACATACTCCTTATAATTTTTCGGGATACTTCATCGGAACACACTTATACCGTGAAGCGGAATCGATATCTGCACTTTTCGTCAGAAAAGCGACTTTAAGCTTTATTAAACCTTTGTGATAATTATTGTTACCTTACCTTATTTATTTAAGGTCAATTATGAAATTTTTCTCTTAAACTCATAATTAATTATTTAAATTCCTAATTTAACGGTGCGGGTTCTTACAGTTACACTCTCAATCTTGTCCGCTGATCCCACTTGTATCCAAGGGCTCAAATTTTTTAGTAATGTGAGCCATTGAATACAAGTGGATCAACGGTCAAGATTGAGTGTAAGACTTCTAACTCTTACACCGGTGTAAGAATATCATGCCCCTATATATATGTGTGTGTGTGTGTGTGTGTGTGTGTGGAGGAATCTTTTGACTTTAGTGTAAGACGTAGAAATCTTACTCTTTATTCTAACCGTTGATTTTTGTCCACCTAATGATTATAATTTATTGAGTTATTCTAATTAATTAATTATTAATTTCAAATAAATGACAACGGTTAAGTAAATGGAAATTAACAACTAAGATAGGGAATAAGACTTTAAATCTTACACCGTTAAATAAGACTGTTAAATAACGATTGGGAGACTGTTAAATAAGACTTCTAAATCTTACACCGTCAAAAGATCCCTCCTATAACGATAAGGATTGGAAATCAACTGTTAACCTAATATAAAAGTTCACGATAATGATTTTAAAATGGCCGGATAAAGTTTAATGAGGAGATTAAGTAAAGGCTTTTGACTTAAAGTTTGAATATGTTTATAATAAGTTAACTTTTTTTTTTTTTTATAACAAGTTAACTTTTTATACATAAAAATTGGGAGACATAATGACTAAATTATTAACTATTTAATGCTACTATCATATCCGTTTCTATGCCGGAGACAACCATTCTGGACACCCGAAGAGTATTGTTTACTTTAACATTATTCAACTCCCCATCAAACTTACGGGGGAAAAATATCCAACTTGCTCCAAAGAAAATGACAATTAATACGTAATCTTGCCGTAATAATGTGCTTCACAAAGTAATATTACTCTTGATAACTAAAAATAATACTCATTAATTGTTTCAATATAATTTTATTAAATAAATATATTTATAAAAAAATTGTAATAATTGTGATGGGAAGGTCACGATTTGAATCTAAGAAACAATCTATATACAAAAATGCAAGGATCAATGAGGGTGTAAGGCTAGCTATAATCAACTGGCATTCTTATTCTTGCAAAATCAAAAAGCTTTATGTAAGAGGATTTTCTTTATTCACAAAAAACGTAAGAAAAATATCTACAAAATCTCAATAATATGTCTCATTAATTATTTCTCAAGATCATATTACAAAAATCTAATAAATATATATATTCAAAGATTATTCTCACTCTTATCCTCACAAATCGTCGAGATTTAAGATAGTGGTTTTAATATTACATTTAGTATATATATGGGTTTGGTGTTAATTTATCCTTTTTTTTTTTTTTTGATAACAGTTAATTTATCCTTTTAAAGGATATAGAATTGTGTCATTTTTTTTTTGGTACATGAATTATGTCGTTTTAAGCAGTTTTTAAAAACGCAGCCAGTCATCGACTCGATCGAGGTCACGAGTTCAACCGGGAGGTCACGGGATCATTTCGTTGATCCGATTTTATACATTAAAAAAATATAAATATATATTCTATATGAAAAATTCAAACAAATCAAACCACAAATCATTAAAGATTCAAAATATACTTAACATAATTCAACCAATTGCATCCACAAGTCAATATTCACAAGCTAATCAAAGTATCAAACTATCAAAGTATCAAACATATATTCTACTGGAGATAATGAAAAGTTATATCATCAAACTCAGACCCTTCTCGTCCTTCTCATGCACCTATAACAGTATGTGAAAAGAGATCTCTTATCCAATAGAGAATAGTGTAACATCCCGAGCGTTGACGAGGGCGAGGAGTGATCGCTGGTGCAAAGAGGCACGGGCAAGGAGCGGCTCCTGACAGGCTTCCAGCAGGGAGTTACATGCATGAATGAATCGAATTGACACCCGAAAGAGAGGGATTCTAAAGACTGTGCAGGTATGAGATTGCACAGTTTAAGATAGCTTATAAGAATTAATTGGTACTACCTATACTAACAAGATGCATCTACTTTTCGGTAGCCCATAACGGAAGAACTCCATAGTTAAGCGTGCTTGACTTGTAGCTATTCTGGGATGGGTGACCTCCTGGGAAGTTTTCCCAAGAAGTGTGCGAGTGAGGAAAAAACACACTGAAAAGTCTCGTGTTAGTATGTGGGGATAGTCATTGATTCTTGAAGCGGCCGGGCGTTACAAGTGGTATCAGAGCAGGCCTCTCTTCTAGTACGGTGTGGTTCGAGGATGAACCAAGCGAAATCTGGTGGGCATGTAACATCCTGAGCGCTGACGAGGGTAGGGAGTGATCGCCGGTGCAAAGAGGCACGGACAAAGAGGGGCTCCTGACAGGCTTCCAGCAGGGGGGTTACATGCATGAATGAATCGAATCGACACCCGAAAGAGAGAGATTCCAAAGACTGTGCAGGTATGAGACTGCACAGTTTGGGATAGCTTATAAGAATTAATTGGTACTACCTATAGTAACAAGATGCATCTACTTTTCGGTAGCCCGTAACGGAAGAACTCCATAGTTAAGCGTGCTTGACTTGGAGCAATTCTGGGATGGGTGACCTCCTGGGAAGTTTTCCCAGGAAGTGTGCGAGTAAGAAAAAAACACACTGAAAAGTCTCGTGTTAGTATGTGGGGATAGTCATTGATTCTTGAAGCGGTCGGGCGTTGCAAATAGCGCAAGAGAGGCGGCGACACGACAAATTAACGGTCACGACAAATTAACGGTAGGGAGAGAAGAAAGGAGATCACTAGAATAAGGAGACTGGATATGGGAGAGAAAATTGGAAGAGAAGAAGAACGATTTAGGGTGTATTTGAAAGTGTTTTAGTTTTTTTGTTTTCAAAAACTGATTTTGAGAGTAAAAAAACAAAAAAACTTGTTTGAGTGTAGTTAAATTAAAGTTATAAAGAAGTTGTAGTTATTTATAAAAATGTCATTAATGAAGTTTTAGAATTACAAAAATGCCACCATAAAGTAATTGTTTTTGCTCCTGAATTTACGAAATTGACATTAATGAATCTTGAAATTTACAAAATTGCCACCGCCTAAACAAAAAAAAGCAAAAACACCACGGGAGAACATCGCCAGGTTGTTTTCGTTTTTTGGTTTTTAAAACTGAAAAAGAATCATTGTTTTGGGAAGCATTTTGCAAAAGAATCATTTCCAAACAGATTTTTTTGTTTTAAAAACTTAAAAACTGTTTTTGAGAATTGGAATCAAACAGACCCTTAGATTTTAGATCTATTTCTAAATCTAGGCAGCAACAAGTTGTTTTTTTTTTTTTACACATCAAACATGTCATTTGGTGTAAAATTCTTTTTTTAAAAAAAGAAATGCAGTGACCCCTCTGACCCGGAGTCGCGGGTTCAATCGGGGGTTTCGGAGGTTAGAGGGATCAACGTGCAAGTATGATCTAACTACTAACCCGAACCCTCAGTGAGAAGGGGTTAGTGACCCGGAGAGGTTGACTCCGAGATGAGGCGGGGTTTTAAAACACTAATTTTATGTGAGAGAAAGAGATACACAAAGAAAATTAAAGGAGGAGAAAGTAAGTGTTTTTTTTTAATTTAAATTTTAAATGAAATACAATTATTTTAACTAAAATAACAATCCTTTAAAAGATAAATATTTTTCAATATATATTCTTCTAAAGAAGAAATCTGGAGAGGCCCACTTTATCGCCTGTTTGCTTGACATCTTTCTCATTCTGCTGTCTATACTCCTTCAAAGTGAATTTCCTGTACATGGGTGGCGTGATATTGCTTTGTATCACTGCCTCCTCAGAGGGGCAATAAAAAAATGCAATAGAAAACCTCTCAACCTTTTCAGCCGCCACCACTCGGTGTTTAATGCTTTTGTAAATGTCATTGCTCTGTGCCTACACATTATATGACACACAAATTAAACCATAGAAGGTTTTAGAAGACCTGTTTAGTCAACAAATTATACAAGAGAGACAAATCAAATTATTGAAAGTATTTTCAGCCAACCATTTTCCAGACACTGGCGATTAACTTTAGCAATATCTTGAAGCAACTTGGATTGGATGCATGTTAGAAATTATGTTTTTATCTTCAACACTAATTATGTCATATTTAATACCTTGTGATGCATTCATTGAATTTTTTTCTATTATTGGACTATTATTATCATACTTTTAAGCATTTTTAGTCAAATGAGGTTTGATGACAATTTGGAGAGTTTTTAACCATTATGGAGTGCTAACTGAAATGAAAGCATATATATTGGACATTATTATGATACGACTTCTGAGTAATCATAGTCCTTTTGAAAATAATTATAAACCAAACAAGAATTTTAACTGCCTTAGGAAACACCATTTGCGTTTAATTAGAATATTCTGAGAATAAAGAAGTGGTTTAACCTGAAATAAGTCGCCAATATTAACAACAAGAGCTCGTGGATTAGGCTTGACATCAACCCATTTTCCATCTTTCATCAATTGCAATCCCCCAACCTGGTCTTGATATACGATGGTAAGCAAACTAGTGTCACTGTGAGGCATTAGGCCATACACCTTCGAAGATATAGGGCATGGAGGATATCTATTCAGTCGAATGAAAGAACTTTTTGTCAAGCAATTCTCTCGGCAATAGCTGGCTTTCATGTTCAGTTTGCAGGCCAGGATTTCCCCCAAGCTTTCGGCAAGGTGGGCCATTCTTGTTGCAATAGCTTCGATCATTGATCTAAAGTTAAAATCGTACTTGTATAAGTTGAGCTAAAAACACATAAAATTAAAGGAGTATTTGTTTCTCATGTTGCAAGAGAAAAATATCCCCTCATGCATATCCATACAAATTTCCGTCGTCAGTTTTTTTTTTTTTTTTAATTGGATACTTTTCTGTTTCTGCAAGAAGATCACAAGTTTCTCATGCAACTGGAGGAACTTATAACCAAAATTTAAATCACCTAAAAGCTTAAGTAGTTGTATTAATAAATTCTACAAATAAATATTTACCAGAAGAATGAAGGCGGTGAAAATTGAATTAATAATCATTTGATCACCTACTCTATATTATGTTAAATAATAATCTCATCTAAAAACTTTAACTCTTCGGAGAATGTCACTTTAATGAATTTATATATTATATTTCTCTAACGTTAACAAAGGCATATGAAAGCATGGTTAAGTACTAATTCAATCAAAAATTAGTTTATTAAATGAAGATTGCACAACAATTACAAAAGGGTATTTAGCCCAGATATTTTAACAGATGTTGACTACTTAATACCCCCTCTTATGCCTAGGTTAACTAGAATATGATTGAAAATATCTTCCCTCATCCTTTGAGGGAAAGCATGAATTTAACAAGAGGCTTTAAAAAATTTACGAGGGGCCCAACAAGCGAAGAGAGAAATTCTGATATTATGTAAGAATGAAATAAAATTTTAGTACTACTATATGTATTATGGGGATACATAGTTATAATATTAAAGGTTTTTTTTCTCTTTTTTCATAAACTTATCAATTGATATGGAAAGAGAAAAAAAAATAATTTTAATATTATAATTATATATTCCTCGAAACACCTATATAATTATAATAGTACTGTCACACTGGTAGTAATAAAGTTTAATTCGTAAGAATGATCGGGCCTAACTCAATCCCAAAAAACTAACTGGTAAGGTGAGGATTGCACAATCATCATAGAGGCTAATTCAATGTTTAGCAGATGTAAGATATTTTGTCAATCACAACTCATGGTCATAAAAGCATTTCAAAATTTCTCTAATAATTGATCAAAGAGGAACATATACATTTGTTAATTTATTATTTTGAAACATACATGAACTACACAAAAGTGGTAAGAAGTATGTGACAATCCTGCTTTACTCAATCATTATGCTTTGATTAGATTGATTTTATACGCTAATTATATTAACCTTGTGATCGCAAATTCCAAACGTTATTGTTATTATTATTATTATTATTATTATTATTGTTGTTATTATTATATAAGAGATGGGCCTCGAGAGGGGGATGGTTATCCATGGAAAGCTAGTCTATATTTTTTTGCTTCTACTTTTTTATTAAATTACCGATCTTCGACTTTTACTCTATACAGTATATTAATTTGTTACATATCGTTTATGTCATTTCAATCGATAGGGGAAAAAAGTAGGATACCCATGTTTGAGAAGAAAATGAATATGTTTCACGAATTAGGTTTGCCAAGTCACCCACTAAAGTAATGGACTAGTGGTATTTTACAGTCCATAATAAGTTTAAAATATCCATTCCCCCTTATCCCAAAAGAGGAAAGATAAAACGCAAATTCAGTGCCTACAGGTGATCAAACAGTAAATAAACCAACTAATGATAAGAGGATGTCCTATAGATAGAAAAAAGCGTGACCTCCCATTATTGTCTTCCATATATACCTAATTTGGGTAAGAGCATGATCTCTGCTAAGAAGTCATCTTTTATATTTTGTTTGCAATTTATCGTATCTTGAAAAACTAAGTACCCTTTCATCTTTTATATTTTGAGTTGTTAGGCCGACATTTTGCTTTGACAAGGCTTTGTGTGAGTTTGGAGAAAAATCGAATTATAATGTTTGAGTTGATAAGTGAATAATTTTTATATTTTTCTAATATTCATAGACAACTTAAATATAGGGATTAATCTTTTCCATTAAGAGAGTAAATTATCTCCTACATACATATAAAAGTGTGTGAGACTTATGTAGAGTCATGTGAAGAGAAAAGAAAGAAAAACAAAACATGAGCCCTGCACACTTTTATGTGTGTAGGAGAAAATTATCTCCTATAAAATGAGAAACATTAATCCCTTAAATATATACAGTGCAAAAACAAAAACAAAAACAAAATTAATTAAATAAATAAATAAAAAAACAAAAATAATAGAGAAGCCTACCTCAGACTTTTGTGCTGGTCCATCTTTGATACATCTGTCAGAGAAAAATGAAAGCTTTCTAACCATGAGAGTTGCCTCAGATTGGTAGCAGAAGGATTCCCCCACCTGTAGGTTTTGTCTGATAAACTGAAGTCAAATTGTGTAGACTTATTCACAAAAGGTTTATAGAACACTTTCGTTTGCTCAAACTGCATGCTCTCTAGCAACTCCTTTGAAATCCCATGATTAACAACCTGAAAGAAACCCCACTCCCGAGCAGCTTCACTGATTTCTTTAATGCATTCTTCTCTCTCAGGATGTTGAAGATTTAACCTCCCAAGATCAATCAAAGGTAACTCACATGTCTCCACCATAGAGCAGGAATCATTTTTTGAGTCCACAAGGTGTTTTTGCAAAAGGGTCTTGTAGGTCTCAAGAAATGGAGGTTCATAATCCATTTGAGAGCTATCTAATTAATAAGCTGCGGAAATGATACACAAGAATTGGTAAGTTTCAAATTGCCATGCAAGTGCCATTACAAATCTATATACAGACACTAACTAGTTAAAATCAGCAATGATCTTAAGGAAAGTAACTTGGATTTGTGTTTGTGTATGAACCGTTGAAATTATAAGATTTATATTTACCTATAACTTGTGATGCAGAGGCAGCAACGCGTCTTACTTAGTGGAAGAAAGAAGGAAATGATGAAATAAAGAGCTAGTGCTGTGTTGTTTATGTTTCTAAAGCTTAATTTAATATAATTTGGAACTGTAACTTAAGCATGATCAGTTTAATTTGGAAACAAATGGTTAAAATCCCAAGATTCTATAGTGTAATGAGAATCCTAAATCATCCTAGAGCAATAAAATTATATTGATAAAAAAAATCAACAAACGTTTAATTTTGTTGCAAATTAGACTATGAAAATTTCAGCAAAAAACTTACACATTGACGAGGTGATTGCATTTGTGCTCAATATATGCTCCATCTGTATTATAAATTAAGGTTCATATAGAAGACTCGGATTTTAAGAAAAACTCGCGTTGAAAATTTTCTCAGTAGTTATTGCTAGCTACCACTGTACGTTGCCCTAATTTTGTATTCCCCCGGATTGATGTATAAACTTTATTTAGATTTGAGGGGAAATTTATATATATACTTCTATTAATTGTTCTTGTAGACATATATATAAGATGATAAAACACAAAAAATATGCCAAGAACAAATTTTCACCTGTGCTTGATCTTTTGAAATGATGATTATGGCATTTCAACCAACTTCATAGCTTGCAAATGCGACCTCTAAGTAAGAAAGCTGGGGAAAAGAAATATAGAAAATGTAAATGTAAAAAGGAAATAGAGGGATCCTTTGGTAGCTATATATAAGGACTTAATTTATTGTAATTTAATTCTACCAATAATTTAATTCTACCAATAATTCTACCAAAGAAAGACACTAGCTACAGCTAGTATTGGGATCAACAGAAATCAAATTTATATAAGAAATTGGTTGAGTAGGATTCAACTCTACAAGAAGAAGAAGAAGAAGAATGGGTTAGTTTAGAATACTTACTGAGAGAGTGGTTGCAACATATATATTTGTATGCATCAATCCAGGAAACTTGGAATCGCACTATAATAATATGGCTAAAGCAGAGAACACGCGGCCAAGCATAGCACCAGAGAAAGAGGTGACAACAGAACAATGCAACAATAACATACGAAATCAGCACTTGATTTATAGCTCAAGTATATGTTAAGAACCAATTCAACCCAATACCTTAAGGTGTTAGGTGATGGTCTTTTTAATACTTTATATTATTCTCGAACACACCCCTTCACGCAAGAGCCCTTTGGACTTGAAGCGTGGATATGGCACAAGCCCATTATTGGTCTGCCTTGTGCTGCACAAGCCCATTTTTTTGGGTTTGTATTATGTTTTTCTTAATTCCACCTGAAAGTGGGGGCGGTGAGAATCGAATTTGTGACCTCGTGGTCCCTCTGAAGCTCTGATACCATGTTAAGAACCAATTCAACCCAATACCTTAAGGTGTTAGGTGATAATCTTTTTAATACTTTATATTATTCTCCAACACAGTAAATGTCGAATAAACGTTAGGTGATAATATGGTCAGCAACCAGTCAAATTTTATAATATCAATGTAATGTTATACAAATATGGTTTTTTTTTTTTTTTTAAGTAAATTACAAATAATATTTTACATGGTGGGTTATTTTTACACGGAACAAAAAGTCTTATATTCATTTTGAGTCATGGATCTATTTATTTTCATTTACACGGAATAAAAGTCCTCACACCATCAGTCTATATCTTCCCTCATCATTCCTCACTCATGAGAGATTTGATTGGGTTACTTGTGATAAGTCCACGACGACTTTTCTCTTTCATCCCACGACCTCATAAATTATCTCCCTCTTTCTTATCTTTATTTGAATTTGTCCCTTTTCTGGTAAAACTTTTTTCGTTTGGTAAGCAAGGCTCAAACGTTCGCCGTTCCTATCTATTATCGACATGAAAATAGTTGCATTAAATAAATGAACAGTCAAACGTTCGCCGTTCCTATCTATTATCGACATGAAAATAGCTGCATTAAATAAATCAACAGTTAACTTATATATATATATATATATATATATATATATATATATATATATATATATATATAATTTCTAGTCCCACATTGATTGGATGGGCAACTAATATGGCCTTCATAAGGTCTTGGGCACTCTCACCCCTTGAGCTAGCTTTTGAAGTGGTGTATCCCAAATTTTTTTACATGGTATCAGAGCTTGAGCTCTCACCGCCTCCCACTTTCATAAGGAATTAAAAATTAAAAACAAAAGCACAAGTAAACCAAAAATTGGGCATGTGCAATTCCACGGTTCTAGCCTAAAGGGCTCTTGCGTGAGGGGGCGTGTTGAGATATATAGTCACACATTGGTTGTATGTGCAATTAATGTGGAGTTTATAAGACCTTGGGCACTCCCACCCTTTGAGCTAGCTTTTGGGATGGTGTATCCCAAGGTTCTTTACATGGTATCAGAGCCTCACCGTCCTCCGCTTTAAAAAGTGGAATTAAAAATTAAAAAAAAGCACAAATAGGTAAACAAAAAATGGGCCTGTGCAATTTCCACTCTTCTAGCCTAAAGGGCTTGTGTGAGGGGGCGTGTTGAGATATATAGTCCCACATTGATTGGATGGGCAACTAATATGGCCTTCATAAGGCCTTGGGCACTCTCACCCCTTGAGCTAGCTTTTGGGGTGGTGTATCCCAAGGTTCTTTACACATTAAACATTAGATAAATACATTTTCCTACATTCACATATTAATGAGTGGTGAGACTCATTTATACTTTCTCTCTCTCCTATATATGTAAGTGTAGGAAAATTAGTTTATCTCATGTTAAATGAGATAAACAATTCCATATATATATATATTATATATATATATGGGATTATATTTTCTTATACAATAGGAGATAAGATATCTCATGTTGCACTCACAAATTTATTTAAAAAAAAAAGAAAAAAAAATTAAAGTGGATCCCACACTTTTTTCAGTGTATAGGAGAGACTTTTTGTCTCCTATCACAATTATAGTAAATATTATAATTATATTCTCCCGAGAGAACACCATTATAATATTTAGTGCACTATGTTCTCGCGGGAGAACATAGTGCACTGGACGGTCCAGTCACTTAATTTTCATTTTCATTTATATATATATATATATATATATATATATATATATATATATATATATATATATATATATATGTTGGGAACTCAGTTCCCTCAAGTCGGCTAAGCAGCCTTTTGCGGAAGACAGTCAACAAGATCCTGGATCTCGGATCTCGGTAATTACCTCGGCCTGAACTTCACCAGGTCGGGCAGCGCAGCGGAAAATCAAAAACGCAAACAGGAGAGGGAGAGAGAGAAGGAGAACTCAAACAGATTTTAACGTGGAAAAACCTTCTCCAATGAAGAAGTAAAAACCCACAGGTCCTAGTCTAGATCAAACGTCCATTATGTAAATAATGGATACAAAGAATCAAAATTCACCAAAGTGGTGGTTAACACAACCTCTCCAACAATGGTGATAATCAAACTACCCTAGAGATGTTTCACTCAAACTCTCTTTAGAGATCTCTCAAATACAAAGCTTAAAGCTTTGCTCTCAAATCTCTCAAATATTTTTCTCTCAATCTCTAACCTAGCCTCCACCCACAACTAATGAATATATAGAGGAGGTGAGATCTAGGGTTTAGGGTTTTAGGAAACCCCTCAATGGGCTTGGGCTTAGCATTCAAGGAGGAAGCCCAACAAATCTCCCCCTCCGACTTCAATGCGTCGGCTTCAGCATCAACTCGACTCCTTCACAGCAGTCTTCAAATTTCCTTGCTGGAACCGGCTTTGTCATCATGTCAGACCAATTATGGTCAGTGTGCACTTTGACGAGTACGAGCTCTCCACCTTCCACCACATCCCGGATCCAATGATACCTCACATCAATGTGCTTAGTGAGGGAGTGATAGGTCGAATTCTTTGCAAGATGGATTGTGTTTTGATTGTCACAACCCAGCTCGAACTTGTCTTGATCATGGCCGAGTTTCATGAGGAACTTCTTCATCCACAGCATCTCTTTGCTTGCCTAAGTAGCGGTAATGTACTCAGCCTCAATTGTCGATAGTGCAACACACTTCTGAAGTCTTGATTGCCAAGAGATAGCTCATCTGGCAAATCTCATCATGTATCCCGTTGTCGACTTCCTCGAGTCGAAATCTCCCCCTATAGAGTAGCCTTGCAACTCGGCTTTTCCTTCTCCAAATCGGAGGTATAAGTTGGTCGTACCTCGGAGGTACTTGAAGATCCACTTCACTACTTCCCAATGCTCTTTGCCGGGGTTTGACAAATACCGGTTCACCATTCCAACAGCATATGCCAAGTCGGGTCTAGTGCAAACCATTGCATACATCAAGCTTCCGGCGGTGGATTGGTATGAGATCTTCAGCATCTCATCTTTGTCTTCATCATATCTCGGACATTGCTTCTGGTTCAGCTTATGTGTCCGGCTAGGGGGGTGCTCACAGTTTTGGCTTTGTCCATGTTGAATCTCTTTAGAATCTTCTCAATATACTTCTCTTGACTCAGCCACGGTAGCTTCTTTTGTCTATCTCGGATAATCTTGATTCCGAGAATCTGCTTTACAGGGCCGAGGTTCTTCATTGCGAAGGACGAGCTCAACGCCTTCTTCAGGGCGGCTATCCTCAATTTGTCTTTCCCTACAATAAGGATGTCGTCAACATATAACAACAAAATCAAAAAATCTCCAGCCTCATACCTCTTCACAAATACGCAGTGGTCAGCTTCTGTCTTCTCAAACTTGTGATCAGTCATTAATGATTCAAACTTCTTGTACCACTGCCGATGTGCTTGCTTCAAGCCATAGAGGCTCTTCTTCAATCGACATACCAAGTTTTCTTGGTCTGGAGCTCGGAACCCTTCAGGTTGCTCCATATAAATTTCTTCTTCTAAGTCACCGTGAAGAAATGTCGTCTTCACGTTCATTTTTTCTACCTCGAGGTCCATCGAAGCCGCCATGGCTAACAAGGTTCGGACTGAGGTCATTTTCACCACAGGAGAAAAGATCTCCTCAAAATCTACATCTTTCTTCTGATTGCAGCCTTTCACTACAATCCAGGCTTTGTATCTCGACTTTAGCCCGTTCTCTTCATTCTTAATCTTGTGGAAACATTTATTTTTCAGAGCTCGTCTTCCTTCAGGCAGCTCGGTCAGCTCATAATTCTGATTTTCGTGCAGAGACTTGATCTCGTCTCGCATTGCCTTTTTCATTCTTCTTTCTCTGAGCTCGTCACAGCCTCATTATAACTCTGAGGGTCACCGTCTTCAGCAACAACGGTGTATTCATCAGATAGGTATCTTGTAGATGGTCTTCTTTCTCGAGTTGGATATCTCGGTTGTTCTTCAGCATGAGAACCCGGTTCATCATTCTCATCTCGGATATCATCATCAACTCGGACCTCATCATCAGCTTGTTGCTGGACATCATTTTCTTCATTCTCTTGATTTTCTCCCCCTGCTTCAGCTCAGACAAGAGGGATGGGTTCTTCACGTCTGACAGTATCCCGGACTTTGGGCTTCGAGATGTCATGAATGTTCTCATCTTCATGAAAGATCACATCTCGGCTTCTCACTATCTTCTTATTGATTGGATCCAAAAGTCAGAACCCGAACTCACATCTCAGCGAACCAAGATAGATGCATTATTCTGTCTTCACATCAAGTTTTTCCCTTTCATCTTTAGGGACATGCACGAAAGCTCGGCATCCAAACACCTTCAGTTGATTATAGGTCGCTTTCCGAATTGTCTAGACTTCTTCTGGAATTTCTCCTTCAAGTGGCCGTGATGGTGAGAGGTTGATTAAATCAACAACAGTTCTGACGGCTTCTCCCCAGAATGAT